CTAACGCCGTTCACATCAACAGTCAGTGTGTGATTACCAGTGGCTGCTCATCCCATGTGACAAAGACCTCGTCTCCACCTGGTGTTAACCTGTGGTCGAAACATGATCTGATCACAGACCTTTACATTTGCACCTGGGATTAATAAACCTTCTTATCTTGATTTTGGCCAAATCGCAATCTGATCTCAAGTTTGCAAATGAGATGCAGGAGCAGGTGAACCTGTCAACAAATGTGGTGTGTCTCTGGAGCACAGACTGGTTCAGATCATTAAAATATCTTCATCCAGGTAAAACTGCTTCTCATAGAATGGACAGGTCCTTGGCCACCGTCTCCCCAGTGCCATGATAACACAGCATGTATTACAAAAAGCTCTCAACCTTCAGAGGAAACAGCAGAGTCTGGCCATAAAAGACACATAACAACAAATGGACTCTGACCCATTTTGGATCCCGTTCCAAGGTGACAAAATGCCTGGATTTAAGCTAAATGGTCTGACAAATCCTGTACTGAATCGTCCATTCACACTGTGTTTACTCTCCTTGACACTTCAGAGAAAAGAGTCTGGTAACAGATACAAACGTGATAACATCTGTGACACTGGATCCAACCAAAGTCAACAAAACGGCTACAAAATGCGAATCTGCAGGAGGAACATGGGCTCGTAGGGCTCTCTGCCCAGATTCTCCTGCTGCTCTGTGACATTCGTTAACCCTGTCCTCACTGGGGGGCTGTGCTGCAGCTGCACAAGTAACATTCATTCTACTGCATCATTCAGTCGGTATCAGTCCAGTAAACGTCTGCTGTTCTGCTGCTTGATGCAGGTCCCAGAGTCTGACGTGCACAGAGCTCGGTGTGTCAGTGGCCGAGCACTCGTCCTTCTCACGCTATCAACAGCAACACCAGGCCGTAACGCGCCGGTCACTACAGGAACACAGGGACTGTTCTTTGTCCTTCTTGCTTTGTCGACTTTGCCTTCGATCCCAAACACTTTTGTTCATGAGATCAGGCTGTTTTTTCCTTGACAGTGTCTGTAGTGTCCGAGCAAGGAAAACCAGAGTAAACAGAGAATGTGAATGAAATATTCATTATGGGATTCCTTTGGTTGTTTACCTTAACAAATGCAGGTGTTTTACCAACCAAGCCAGTGTGTCTGGTGTGAATCTAGAGAATTTGATGGGAATACTGGGACGACTGAGACCAGTTAAACCAATAATAAAATGAGTGAGACTCAGTAAAACCATTTTAACCAATAAATCCAGAAAGACCTGTAAGAATACTGACATACAGCAGAGCAGTGACATCAGTGGCACCAGTAAAACCCCAGTGAACCCAGTCTACCATGGTCTCTGATTACTGGGTGAGGTGCAGCAGACTGGTGAAGTTTTGACAAGGAGGGATCAACAGACAGGTCCAGGAACAGAGACACCAGGGTCTTTTTATATTTGTCAGGACATAATACATCCACCAACCCAAACCCCCAAACCAAGTCTGAACCCTTAACTAACCCACTGAAGGGGGTAAGGACTGTAAAACATGTCCTCACAATGATGGTATAGAAACACATATTGTCCACACACACACTGTGGACGTGCTGCATTTTCATGCTCCGCTCTTGCATAATATTGCGTGAGTGTGTGTGAGATTTGGCTCTAGGTCCCTGGACTATTCGGATACCGAAAGAGGGTCCACACCCCACACGCACACACACACACACACGGACGCCCATACATCATGTGAAATGCATGTGAGTGCACTGAGCCCAGCCCATGTGAGCCTGCTGTCACTGACTGGCTGCTAATGGCTAACAGATGAGCCAGAGTGTGTGTGTTTATGTGTCTTTGTGAGGACATGTTGTCCAGTCCTCAGACCTTCCTACTTAATGGTTCAGACCTGGTGTTAGGGACCAGTTTAGAATCAGGGTTAGGGACCAGGGGATGCATTATGTCAATGAGGGTCCTCACAAAGACAGAGGTACACATGTGTGTGTGTGTGTGTGTGCCATTGCCAGGCCTGTCACAGTGCAGCTGGGAGATATGGGAGATTTAAGATCAGCCCAGTATAACGTCAGCCCCAGTATGTGGCCGAGGGGAATTCCAGTCATCTCCTCAGCTCTGTTACCTCACCTCCCTTCACTTCTTTACCCAGGTCTAATATTGTTTTTCTGGTTCTGTCCTCCTCTCTGCTGTTCCTCTTACTTCCACTCAGTTTCCTCCATATAAATGTTTCCTCCATCGGGTTCAGATGCTCCTCGCCCTGTCCCTAAGGCTCCAGACTCTGACTCTAGCCTGCGCTAAGATCTCTTGGTGTCACTCCTGAACAACACTCTGACAAACCTGTACGTCTTCCCGTGTAGTAGCAGCGCTCCCCCACCTGAAGGAAGGAAGCCAGCGTTGTCTGGTACAGGAGGATCAGACCTGGGGCTGTCGATTCAGGTCCTGGCAGCCTCACGCTCGGCTGCACGTCGACCCATTGAGAAATGGGGCCAGCTTTCATCAGTCATGTGCATGTCACACCATGAATCACATAGTACATCTCATTTATCTAGAAGCCAAATGAATCCGGGAGAAAAACAGACTGTGAGCTGGACAACTATACTGAACGTGATGACTCAGGGGTCGTTTCTCATGCAAAGGCCCAACTAAACCCCCAAATATTCTGCTGAACAGATGAACAAAACCCAAACAGCTAACTTTGTTTCAGCAGCCTGGAGAAGAAGGTGAGATGGGTTTGTCATGTTTGTTAGTAGAGGACCCAAATGTGCAATTCTGCACTCTCTAAAACTTAACACCTGATACCTGACCTCAGTGAAAGACTGGAGCAGGACGGCAGGACAAGAGGAGACACTGACTGACACTGGATGATCCGGCTCCACCCTCAGTTTCATATATCTGGAAAAAGAATGTGTTAGGACGTGATTCATTAAACCTCTGGTCTGTGCTGTGGCGGCATTGTGCTTCCATTGTTGTCTCTCGTCTCTGTCACTTGTTGGGTTTCAAGCACAGTTTCCATTGTAAAAGAGATTTTGCCCTCAGTCAGTTAAAATAAAAGGTCATGAACAACAGTTTTGTCTGGAAGTGACCGCCCCTCATTTACAGCTTCCTGATAGAGCACATTTAAACCAAATATCCATATGAAGAAGGTCACAGCCTCCTCATCGCTCCACACACATCTGATATTTTAGACAGTATATTGGAGTTTTAATAATGAGTTTTCAACGTAAACGTAGCGTCGACATCGACATCAAAGTCGTAACTACAAAGATTTTCAGTGTTTCCAGCGTTGCTACTGTCGACTGTGACTAAACCCTGATTTAACTGACACTGTGCTCAATTTTAAATGCAAAGTGTTTACAAACTCAACAAATTTGATGTGTGTGTGCGATAGCGAGGTCAGGATGTGTGTGCTGGGTCTCCCTGCGGACACGGGTCGGAGCCAGCGGTGACCCCACAGGATTCAGTTTCACACATTCACCCCTCTGCCTCCGTCAGCACACTGGAGAATGTGTGGTACAGTGGAATGTGAGCCGGTGGGTACAGCTGACTGTGTGTGATGTGCTTGGCAGGAAGAAGGAAAACACAGCTTTCACCAATGTTCACATCACGAGTCGCCGGCTCTACTTACATCAGTGCCATGTGTGTCGTGTCCTGGATCTTGTCCTGACGCGCAGTGTGAACTGTGGGACAAGCAAACAGGATGCACCTGAGCACAGTCTGGAGCCTCAGCAAAGGAGAGTCATAAGTTTTCACTGACTGACAGGGCAAAAATAGAAATGTTATCCATTTAAAATTAAATCTACAACACAAAGAGAGAAAATAGTTCCTAAAGTCACTGCACATGATCACACCTACACACTTAACAGGTGACACTGGGCACGTCTCATTTCCTTGTTTGATCATCTCTCACTTCTTGGTCCTCACTTGACCTGCGAATTGATCTGGATTTCAGTAAAGTGCAGACACTTTATTTGTGCAAAAGGCTGCTTTCAAAGCTGATCATAAAATGTAAAAACAGACAACGTACATCCCCGTGGTAGTAATGACACTGTCTTTGTGAAATTTGACCCCGTGGTAGTAATGACACTGTCTTTGTGGAATTTGACCACCTCTGGCTGCATCCTGTGAGGACAGATGGGGCGTCCTGACAAGCACAACACTACACCATGGCAATAAATGATTGTCTGAACAGGTGTTATCACGATCTCAGGTTAAAACGAGCACCTAAATTGCAATGCGCTCCCTAATCAGCACGCACATGGCCTCAGCTGCACCTCTCCTCCCACCTCAGTCTAAACGCGTTCATTCATGACACAAAACTAACAGATGTGCCTATGTGCACCAAAAAGCAGACATGAAGCCGAGGAAAACTGCAGCAGGTCTGCAATGGAAGTGATGCAGAAATTGGTGCTGGCAGGAAAACAGAGCTCTGAGAGTTTTAAAATAATGACCGAAATAATACAGATAAGGAACAGAGGTGGGAGGGAGCCAAGAGTGAAACAAGGTTGTTCCTCATGATCCTGTTGTGGCAGGACAGAAAAACCACAAGACCTGCAGCTCAGTTGGCTACTTGTGTCAAAACCAGCACAGGTGATAAATAATAACCACAGCACACACCATATACAGGTGGTCCACATCTGGTCTGAGGACACCTGGTCTGTTCACACTGCTCACCTGGTCTGGACACACCAGGTCTGAGTCAGGCTTGAAAATTTGAAGCGGTACTTTAAGGATAAGGCCGATGGTTCTAGTTTCACATAACTGCTCTTGAAGCAAAGTGAAGTTGAAAAATAAGAAAGGAGAGAGAGGGAGGAGAGATCAACATGGAGAACATGAAAAGTGGGAGGACTGGGGGGGCTGTGTTTGTTGTGCGTACCAGTCGGTGCAGTGTGTGAAATGTGAACTCCCCAGTGTGTGTGTGTGTGTGTGCAGGGGAGGATCCTCTCTCTCTAAAAGCCGGGTCAGAGACAGAAATTGGCAGAGCTGCGAGTGAGAGACACTGGACAGGGAACACACACACACACACAGAGACAAAGAAGAGTGGTCTATTGTATACACAGACACACACACAGAGCTGCTGATCAGTAACACACACACTCTCCACCGGGCTCTGGACTGACCACTTGAGGACACACACTTCAGGACTGTTTCCTATCATGCACCAGCGGAGCCTCTCGGAGCTCCAGGGCGTCTCCACTCAGCAGGGGGCCTCTGCCCAACAGACCATCCAGGGTCGAGCCTTGTGGTGCTCCAGGCCACAGAGGGGGTCCAGACACCGCTGCCTCTGTTCGCCAAGGCGAGCTCCTCTCTGGGCATGGTTCCTGCTGGGGGCCCTGGTGGCTCCGGGAGCCTGGAGCTTTCTGCGCGAGGACGAAGAGGAGCTGCTGGTGGAGCTTCACAACTATTACAGAGGACAGGTGTCACCCAGCGCCTCGGCCATGATGCCTCTGGTAGGACACCCGCTCACAGCTTAGGACAGATGCGTTACACTACATTATGGCATGTTTTCAGCATTAAGCTAGCTCATCCCGAGATTAACCAACAAATCAGGATAAATAAGGCGAGCGTGACACTGACATGATGAGCTGACCTCGTCCACCAAACGCTCTGACCACTGCTACAGAGACTCAGACTGGAAAACCAGTACAGACCTCTGATTTTGTGAATATATTTCAGCAGTGAACTTGATCTTTGGTTTTCAGTGAACTTATGCCACATTAAAGGGAACCAGTGCTTATCCAAGCTTCCCTGCAGCTGTTCGGGTCTGGAGAAGTGAGCTACACACTGAATTATCATCACGTTTTGGGACATTAAATAGTAAAAGGACAATAGTTGTTTACATAAAATCATACAGTTCCAGTGTATAAATGAGGTCAAAGGTCAGAAGTATAGTGTTCAGTCAATGCTGCAGCACTGAAAACTGAAAGTTCATATTCACTATGATGCTGAGTCTATCAAACAAACAGTGGTGAGCAGGTGGAGAAATTCATTAAACATACAGTACTTGCTTTGCTTGTTGGCAGATTTGACTGAATCTAATCATCCTCGAGTCCGAGTGGACGTTTGTGCCAAATTTGAAGAAATTCTCTTAAGGTGTTCCCGAGGTAGGGTCAGGGCCTCGCGTTCTTTAAAACAGACTGGACAGACACACAACCTGAAACCACAACACCTCTGTCTGTGGCTATTGTCGGCGTAGAGGCATAAAAGAACAGCAGCTGCATTACAATCCGCCCAAATGTCTAAAGAACTGTGGAAGTCTAAACAGAGTAGCTGTCCGAACAGTTTGAACTTGAACTGAGACTAAAACTAATTTGAACTAATGAGAACCATTTAAAGTGCCTACGGAGCAGAGGTTTCTTTGGTGACAGACTAGTGGTTTACAGTGACTGACGCAGCTGTAAAGACTTCACTGAAACCTGACCTGTCATCTGTGTATCCTGCATGCCACCATGATGGCCGGGTCCATATTACCCCGTGTGCAGTCTGAGTCCTGATATGTCAGGTCACAAGTTTGGCTCAGTTTGTCCAGGCCCAGGTCAACTAACATGATTCATTGTTGTCTTTAGCCCTGGTGTGTTTCAGGGTCACACTATGCAGGTTTCCATCCACGGGCGGATGGAAACATACTTATTACAGGACATATTACAAATGTGTCGAGAGCTGTGCAGTCATACGGTATGGAGTCACGCAGGCTGACAGGAAACTGACTGGGCAACGCTGACTGACGGGCAGTGACGCAGCACTCTACTTTCCACTAGACATATTTCCCTGCTTTAAATGGATTTTATAATAAAATATCTGCTGTCACAAAAGTCTGCTTTGCTTTCACACCACAAATGAACCAGGCCAGATTTTGACTGACACTGTTCACATGAGCCTAAATGAACCGCACCAGACAGGTGAAGGTGCCAGAGCTGGTTTGGACCAAACGCTCATCGGGGTTCACTAATGACCAGAAACCCCGGCCGTACCTCACATCAGTGCAGCAGAGTTCACCAGTATTTGGTCTGTGGTCACTCAGTGTAATCCACTCGTTTTCATATTGTAGTTGGCAGCAAATGTTTCTCCCAAGACTTTATCATTATTATTGTTGTTGTACTTTACCAGTAAAACTCTTGATGGTAGTGCCCCGGTGACCTGATCTGTCCAGACCTCAGCACGTCTCGCTGAAACGATCTGGACAGATCAAACTGTGGGAACAGTGGGAAATGTGTTTATGGGCATCTGGGTGGACAGACATTTTGAAATGAGTAGACGCATTTCTAAACATTTCAACGTGACTACAGTAACCGTCCTTATAATACAGCAGCAACCAAATCGCTGTTTGCTGTGCCGGGGAGGGAAAGTGTCCGAGAGGCTTCAAATGTGCACGTTTCCCATGATTTGATATTTTAACTCTCTAAAAACTCTAAAAATGCACAAGTTTAAAGTAGTTAATTCTGACTCGGTCCCACATATACACCATCCTACTGCCACAAACACTCACTAGGGACCAAATGTGGATTCATCCGCCACTGAAAATAGTCCCCAACAAATGCACTGCTTCATCTTGTTTGCTTGGTAAAAATGAGTTTACTGAGGCGTTTCCACACTACACCCTGGTACTGCAGCGTGTACTCACAGATTTGAAAAGAAAAAGTCGAAGTGTGACTTTGAGAACTCATCAGAGTAAATGAGAGATGATTCTAACCAGATGTGATTTGACTTTTTTTCTGCAATGCACTCTGACATGTCTCATTGTTGTCCACAATTAACTTTAATTGTCTCCAGCTGTTGTGCAATGTGTTGTCGGATCACAGTGTCCATCGACCGCACACTCAGAAGAAGAAGTGAATGTGGCTTTGAGTTTCCTAAACAGTCTGAAGGATCTCTGTGCAGACAAGAAGGATGAGGTTGGGACCAGATGCTGTGGTGGAAAAGAGGAAGGAGATAAAAAGGAAAGGAGAAGTAGAGAAGGAAGGGTCTGATCTGTTGTGTCTGTCCATGTCCTCGTCCCCAACTCACAGCAGAACCGATTCACTTTTAGTAACATATGGCTTATTCATCATTTTGTCTTTCTGTCTTTTTCTGTTTGCTGAACATTCTCAGAACACAGACACATTATCTTTGGCACTGTTTGCTGCATTGGTCCTGTGTTTGCTTTGTCTTGTTCTAATTATCCGGTTTGGGTCTGCCTTGTTTACATGATGAAACCCCTGCAGCAACGTGCTTGTCTTGCCTTTCCCTTTTTCTTCAGCCACTGAACAGCTGCCTTTAGGTCCTGAATTGGTCTGAAGTTGTTCGAGTTGTGACTTAAGTGCCATCCCTGGCCATTATTTTTCAGATGCCACAAAGAACGGTTCCATAAAACATGTCCTTTTACACTTTGGTTTTCATGGGGATCAAGCAAACAAGTAGTTTACAGGTGCGGCAGGTGGACAGAGCCAGGGTCGCTGTTTCCACCCATCTCCAGTCCTGTAACCATGGTAACCCTACACAACAAAGATGGAGATGCCTGTAGCCTTAAAATGCTCAGAGGGCATGAAACCCATAAATACAGGATGTGACTGAAACTGTCAAACATTTTGGTCAGAAAACTAAAACTAAATTAAAATCAGCTGCCGGGGTGATGTCAGAGTAAATGTCAGGGGATGAACCAGCTTGTTACAGCTATAGTTGGTATAAGAGGAGTGTCTGAACCAGATTTTACTCTGTTTGATAGTTGTCGAGATTTCACAGCAACACTTGTCCAACAGTGACTAACGGGCCAGCGGACTAACACCACGACACCAGTGATGTCACTGATGACGAGCAGACATCATGAACACTAGCTAAGTTCACTTTATAAGATCATCTGGCAGAGATGTTGTCACACTATAGACGCGATACTGCTCTGACTTGAGAACAACTCGTTCTGCAGCTCTCAGCTGGACTTCCAGGTGAACTGGAGGTCACACTGAATCCCAGTTGGTTTTATGTTTCAGCTTCAGGCAGGTTGGAGCCGGCTGGTTGTTGTGATTTGGTCTGTGGGCCGGAGAGAAGCTGGAGGCTGTTCAGCTCTGTATGGGGGTGGGAAGATGACAGCTATGTCCTTATGGCGATGGTTTTCAGTAAAGGATTGCGAAGTGATAACAAACCAAACATAAGCACTTCCAAAGCAGTTTTACACAGCGATCTTATTATATCATAATGGATCTGTTTTCGTTTCACTTGTCATTGAGCTTTAGCTGCCTCCACCCAGCATTCAATGAGCCACAGTAGAAAGATAACAGGAGACAGATTGGTTTCATACGCTGTGGAGATCAGTAAGTAGCCTGAAGCCAAGGCCAGGAGAGGACGATAAGACAGGATTCCACTGAGCTACCAGTTTGATTTTAATTTTTCATCAAGAAGAAGAGATCAGATGTCTTGAAACACCTACAGGAGAAGAGAGGAGCAGAAATGTTTTCTGGCTGATAAACATCACACATTTAGAGACCATGGATGACAATGATCCATTTCAGTAACCTTCCACTCCAGTTTCAGCGCCTCTGCTCGTTGCATTAACGGCCTCCTAAAGCAAAACGCCTGCACAGGTTTTTACATGACACCCTCAGTAAAAGGAACCAGAAAGGCAGAGGAAATGCAGCCCTGATTTCTAGGAACACACGGGTGTTTCCCTCTGCAGGCTCCCTCCCGTTAATAACATGAGTATTGGAGGAGGAGCGCAGCCCAGGAATCTTGGTGGGATTCCACCAGACAGGGAGGGAGTCGGTGGTCAGGGTTGAGCAACACAGGGGGATGACTGTTGTGAAAGAGCTGAGAGACAAGGAAATGGCAGCATCGTGTTTAGAAAGAGAGGGAAATGAACATTAGGTAGAGGATGAATGAGCACAAAGGAGGTCTCAGCCTGTCCCCGCCGGTATGGAAGCCCCACTGGGACATTTCAGTATGGGTCGTCCCATGGAAACTGTTCATGTTGTCCCCAACATTTACAGGCAGAAACGCAGCAGTGTGAATCTGCTGATATTGTTTTTAGTGGTTGAAGACATTAAATAAATGGACTTTTCAGCATGAAGTCAAAACCAATGAAACCATTAGAAAACAATGTTTATATTTTGAACGGTTTCTGTTAAACTCTGTTAAAGTCCGTCCTGACCAAGTCTCATGTTCAAGTCTAAACATAGTCTATACATGTAAGAACATACAGAATAAATATGTTTTATTTTGAATTTTGAAGTTAGGCTGTAGATTTTAGGAGCAAAATGTCGATTTCTTTTTTTATTTTTAAAGTTTGAGAAATAATTACATTTAAAATTAAACTACATTTAACAGCACGATGGAGAGCGTGCATTTCACACTCCAAATAAAATAGCCATCAATAAATATACCGTTCTATATACAGTGCTGGGGAGTAACAAGTTACATGTAACTAATAAGTTACTTTGAATAAGTAATTTTAAAAAGTTACATTACTCATTACATTTTAACAGGGTAACAATTAATCTGTAACCTGTTACATTTTGAAAGCAACCTTCCCAACACTAATACACAGGCAGTGAAGTATTTGATACTAGCTAATATACTAGCGAGGGTGTCAGTGAGGCACTGACAAGGAAACCATCGCTGGGCTGTTGAGAGCGTTACCTCCACCGAGGTCGTTGGTACTGTTTGTTCACAGCATGAAGATTGGTTTGACACTTTTTGGGGACATTGAATGTGGCCCCCCCGCGACCCTGTTAGGGGCTAAGCAGTATAGATAATGGATGGATATGGCCCATGGTACAGTCTATTAGATTCTGGTGCTGATCCAGATAAACTTCCTGATTCAGGACATTTTCAGAGGATTCTTCACTGCTGTGATTGTTGGAAAGGCTGTGGACTGTATGTGAGCGCCCTCCACATTGTTGTATCAGTCTGCGTGGGACTGCATTGAGCCGTCTGTGGTCTTCAGCAATCGCTCAGGTTTATCGTTCTTCTTGAATAACTTTCAAACTAATGGTGAATTCAGTGTGATTCCAAATGCCAGGGGTTGTCATGGTTAAGGCCTCACACACCAAGAGTCAGACTATTATGGGATTATTGCTTTTAGGTGGAACAGCATTATGGGTAAACTGAGCTGCTGTGGTGGAGGTCTGCGCTCTCTGGTTGCTGTCTAGTTATCGTTATTGTTTGTGGTGTTATTATAATATCTGCTTGTTATTTTCAGACGTGCCTGTTGTGTTGGTGTTACTGACTTAATTACCTCAGTCACATGTCTGACGTGATTGCCATCAGCAACACCTTCATGAGTTTGGTTTATTCTGCTACTGGACTGAACAAACGGCCATTTTATACACAGATGATTGCTGTTTCTCATCATTAGCAGCAGGGTTATGCTGCCACAATGTGCACAGCCCTGCACCCACAGGCAGAAGAGACGGACCTGCGTTTATCCCGTTGAACAATGAACGGTATTGTTTTTATTTGAGTTGCTTCTCGTACTGAAGTGTGAAGTGTCTTAGTGGTGAACTAACATTTCTGCAGTACTCCTCCGTGATGGTGGGTGGGAGCAGACTTATGATAACTGCACATTTCTGCTTAGAAGGATCTTTCCTCTGGGTTTCTTTTACTGGTTTCTGAGCAGTAATCAGCAGAGTCCAGTGCAGATGATGAGGCTTCACATGTGACTTTAGTAAAACACAGAGCTGGAGCATTACTCCTTCTCCTGTGGAGGGGGTTTACATTCTCTCTCTGTCCTGGTTCGGCTTCAGGCTGCGGTCTGTTTGTTTAGAACTCAGCAGG